TGAATGTGCAGAATCTGTGGCTAAAGTGAGCTTGCATCCAATGAAGGTATTATTGTCCAGAGATTTGAAGCTAAAGGCAAAGCTGAATTTTTGAAGTGACATTAATTAAAAAAAAATTGATACAATTCAAAGCTGTAATCTCTTTAGAAGACATGAGAAAACTAGTAACTTGATTTTAAAACGTGCTGTCTTAAAATGTGTGAATATTTTCAAAATAATTTCATTTGTGCTATTAATATACAGTGATAGAATTTTTAATGTAATGTTATCTCAATAATGAAACAAAAGAAACAGATGCTCCATAGCACTAATGAAGAATTAACTTTTCATAGACTTGAAAGATAATTGTATTGTATTTTCAGAAAAAAACTAAAACATGCCCAAGGCGGCTAAAATCCAGAAAAAGTATAATTTAAAAAAATAAAGAAATCACTAAGGTAAAAAAGCAATGTCCTTTTCAATTATTTGATGTCTACAAGAATTGAATGAAAAATTACTGTTTATATAACTTTTTTCTTTATATCCTTTAGTATAGAAAATAAAGAATTTGAACAGAGGATAGGTTGTGTAAGGCATACTTCTATCCAATGTCAGAGGATGCTAAAAACCAAAATATCATGAGAACTTGAGTAACATTCTTAAACAGCCTCATCAGATCTAGACTCTCATATAGATGTCATGAATAACATCCAACTAATTCAGAAATGTCTAAACTATCATATATATTCAACCATTTTTTTTTTCAGATTAAAATGGCTTCAAGCAAGTGAATTCTTTAGGTCTCAAATGCAACTCATTCATGACATTACTAGGCAGCACCATGGTTACTGAATAGATGAATATTTTCAATTTTAGTGATCTAAGGTTGCTCAAAATGATCTTTTCTACAAGTATTTTCAAAATGCAGGAGATTCATGAAAAAAAGTCTCATGTTGGAAAGGAGGTTTGGTAGTTCTAATAATGGAAACCATTTTACTAATGTCACAAATTCAGTCATCTTTCACCAGGTTTCACATTTGCACCTGTGACCTTCTACAACAGTGGACCTATTTTGCCTGATGCACCCTTTTTCACCATAAGTCAGAATATCATCTACCCCTTGCCCGATTTAAAAGGTGCATTCCAAATAATATACATATATTATTGAAAATCTTCATTATTTTCCCACTGGTTGAGAACCCCTGTTCTACAAGATTAAGCTTAGCTTAAACAATTCTCATAGACAAGTAAAGCAAAGCACACTCCTATCTGCAAGATGCAACTATGGTTTTATTTTGTGCTTAAAATGTATTGAAACCTTTACCAATAAAAAGCCAATATCAACTTTAAAATTAAATTAATTATTTAGTTTCTAAAATACAGGAGTAATATTGAATAAAGGGAACGGTGTCTAGGGGAGACAACTTTATATTTAAAAATGAGATAAAAATAATGAACAATCAGCAATTGACTGCCAATTTAGCACTCAATTGTTGATACCTTCTGTACTGAACAATTACAAAAAAGGTTTGTCCACGAAATTCTTGAGTCAGGGTGCTGAATATCAATCAGCTAAGTGACAAATTTTGTATTTGTATTAATCCTATTTAAAAAATAATCAAGTTTATATTAAAAATAGGAGAAATAGAAATCTTTTGGTCTCAAATACCCTAAGTTCCTCTAAAAAAATTCTATCAATTTTAATGCAATTGAACAACAAAATTTCAACAAAAACAAGTTTATTTAATAATTATATAAATTTTATTTTTACAATAAAGTTTATTTCTATAAAAATTACATTGTTTTTTTGTTTTTTTTTAAATTGAAAAATGAAAAGAATTTTATATACTCATTAAATTACACTATTTTCTCAATGCACTAAAACCAGGGACAAGATGAAAAGTACAACTATAGTAGTTGGCAATACAAAAAGAAAAAATAAATGGAAAATACAATGGAATGAATTAACCAGTTATTGCTCCTCACTCATCAGAATTCAATTAAGGAAATTAAAATATTGTGCACACCAACTAATAAAGGGAGTCATGAGGAAAGAAAATACCCATGTATCAATAATATATACATATATGTGCATATCTATAGATAGAACATATTAAGTCCTAACAGGCAATCCCTTTAATTGCATTTTTCTTTGCATATTGTCAACTATTGTAGTTGTAGTTTTCCTCTTATCCTTTTTGTTTGTTTTTCTGGCATTAATTAAATTTGGACCCTTAATAAAATCTTTATACATTATTCTCATGAAAAATATTACAGCCACTGCTTTCAGTAATTCAATGTGAATGGCTTCTTTTTAGAGGCCCAGTGCAACAACAAAATTGGGCATCTCTTCTAATGTTCAATGTTACCAGGTAGTATTTGATGATTACTAAGTATATCTATCTAGAACAGTTTCTGCACTATGAAAAATCTTGCTGAAAGACATGAAACATTATTGGGTTTTAGAATAAAAAAAAAACATTTTAAGATTATTAAATTGTTATTACAATTTTTTCCTTCCCACCCAAAAAGCTCAAACGCAGTTTTCTTCACCCCTTGATGAAACACAAGAACAATTAAATTTTATTTAAAATATAACAAATACTCTATGTCAACATTCATTGTTTATACCAGATTGACTTACATTTATAATTGCAATACTGACTCATTATACCTGACATTCTGAAATTCTAAAATACTAATTTTCTTTTATTAGATGGTTTAAATTTACATTGGAATTAAATGGTACTTGAAATTTATTCAGGGTCCAAGTTTAAACTGAAATGCAATTTTGTATTGCTTCAATTAATTTTGTAATGTTAAAACTATTACAACAATTAATGAACAATGTATTTATTTATATATTTTTCTCTTTACTTCAAGTTGTCATTTTTACCATTTAGCTTTTTTAATACATTTAAATTTCACTGATATTCACTGATTCCCATATTGGTAACACTTTTTGTCTTTCATTTGTGTAGCATCCTGATTTAAAAATCTTTTATTTTTTTTATATTATTAGTTGAGAAGTTAATTTTATTTTACAAAATGCATAAGTCACAATATATATTAAGTTTTCTTTTACTTTTTTCATTCACAATTATTTTTCTTTTTAAATTTTATATTCTTTTTAAATTTTATATGAACATAATTATAATTTCATAAATGCCATTATGCAAAAAAATTCCAAACTTAGCTTTATAATTTATTCAAATCAAAAATCAAAAATGCATCTGCACAATATATGTAAATAAATGACTTAAAATTTTATATATTTACCTAAAATATAACTTATTGAGGAAAAAAATAATTTAGGTTACTAGAAATTAGATAAATATTGTTAAATTTAGTCTGGCACGACGCTACAATAGTGATGCACTATTATAAAATGAATTCATTCCACCAGTTAATGGTTTGCCAGATTAACTTGTTCAACATCACTTTAAACCAGATACCCAGTTAGTTACATACAAATATATAACACTGCAAATAATTTCTCAATAAATTTACAGAGAAAATTAGCTATGTATTTTTTTCCAAAGTTCATTTCTAAATTCAAGCATCTGACTAACAGACCTTTTTTCCAAAATAGTTTGCATTGACATTAACAAATGTGGATTAAAATCAAACCTCTTTCCTTCTTTGATGGCTGTAATCAGATTTAAAGTCAACTCAAAAGATTCTGACATGGAATTTGCTATTGGAAATAATTGGGCATTCCATAAGCTAAACGTTTCTGAAGTAACTGCAGAAAAAAAACAAGAAACTGAAATATCAAATGAAGCAGAGATTTCTTTGAAATTCTTTTGAAAGAATAAAAGACTTTCTAATTTTTCTTCTTCAACAGTTTTCTTGATGTCATCTTCAATATGAAAAGCTAATGTCACATATTTTATTGTCTTATCAAGTATCACAGGAACAGTATGCAAAAATATATTCTCTGGTATTTTTATAACATTTTTACCAGGAGGAAAATTTAGAAATTCACAGTTACTCAAGAGTGAATTTTCTAAGACATGCAATGGTTGATTAAAATGACAAAACTCTAATACAACCATTTTAGAAATATGACTCTCATCTGGTAGAACAGAATGCATCACACACCCACAGTTTTCTTTATCAATTTTTAATTTTTTTATGGGTTTTTCATCAGGCATTTCATTTGACCAGAAATTGAAAGAATCTTTACAGAGAGAAAGGCTTCTTGTAAATAAACTATGATTACAAAAATGGTACAAGACTTCCTTGATAGAACCAATGTGAATAAAATGTGATGAACTAAGAACAACTATTGAAAGAGATGAATCTTTCAGAAAATCAAATATTTTCTTACGTGTTGTTACAAGATTTGAAGATACTGTGGTTATATTAGAGAGATTCTGAATGTAGTCAGAAGGTGGCTGTGAGCCAAGTGCTTGTAAAAAATCCCCATAAGCATCAATTTCACACTGGAAGGGGCCATGTTTTTCAAAAAATTCTAAAAGTCTTTTTGAAATATCACTTGTGAATAAAAATGCACTATCTGTGAAAACAAAAGTTTTATCAGATTTTTCGTTTTTATCATCTACTATTGCATTATATTTATGCATCATCTCTACAGATGGTTTCTGAAGAACAGTTTGACATCTGTGCTGTTGAACATCATCAGTAGTTAGAGCATTCTTATCTTCCAAGACAAAAACTCCATGTCCTTTGCCAACTTGAAGAGAGGAAGGATGTGCTAAAGCAATGAAACCATCTCCCTCCAATGACCAATCAGATTCTTTTCCAAGATTATAAATAATGATATCATCAGCACAAGTTAAAAACACACCAGGTTTCATTTTAGGCACAAAAGGCCAATATAATGCAAGTTTTACATCTAACATTTGATAACATGGTGAACCAAAGGGAAGAATTGAGAAAATTTTGCCAAGTATACTGGTGCTTGGCAGTCTTTTACTCAGACCTCCTGCATGGATTATAAGGACCTTCAATTCAAACATTTTTTCACCAAAAATCTTCTTCAAGAATGATAATACTGTAAATGTTGATCCTCCATTTCCTAAAAAAAAAAAAGAATATGTTCAGTATTAGAATTCCTCAAAATCAAATATTTTCACTTAATATGCTAGATAATCACTTAAGATCAACTCACATTTCAAAATTTAATTTTTTTCCATCAATTCTACAGAAGATTAAGTTTTCCTAAAATCTGTATGTAATCAATATTTGATTAACAACAATTGTAAATAACTTTGTAGGAAGAGAACATTATTGATGTATAAAAACATAGTGGTTAATGATGAAGGCAGAAAAAGGACAATGGTCAGCATTTTGACCCTAGATTCTAATAGGAAAAGAACAATCTGGAAGTTTTTTAGAAATAATATTTAAACTACAAATGAATAAACATTGACTTGTAAGCACTTTTGCAGAAATACTCATACTACATGAAATGGATGCTTAAAATTATACTTTGAGATATGGTATCTTATATAAAGATAATTAAAATATTAATTACAGAGAAATTATGCAAAAACATCAGAGTGAAATAGACAAAACTCTTCTAAGAGTAAAAATATATGTAAATGTTTCCTAACTACAACATATTTTTACATAGATTATCTATAATGATCCCAATATCCAATTTTTGTGAGGTTATGTGTTTGTTACTGTAACACAGCAAAACCAGCAATTTTTGTTAGTGCAACACTGTTAAAACACTGTAATTAAAGTTTAAGTTCAATGGGGTTGCCAGTTTCCAATGAATTTTTAACTAAATGTAAATTTGAAAAAAATGTTTAAGGGAGACAACTCTAGATCCTGTCAATTGCTAAATGTAGTCACTTCCTTTTTTTAACAAGAGGAATTAGCAGGAAATAATCTGACATGTCTGCACTCTGATGCATGACAGTAAAAATATTTTAATAATGATAATAATTAAGCAGAGTGATAATTTGCATTTGTAAATAATTGTAAATTCTATAAATAGGAAGTGACTAAACACTGAGTAACATGAAATCAAGTGCTTAAAAAGGAAAATTTATTAACTAAGTAGTAATACTTCTCCAGCCTTTTGTCATGATACACAATAACATAACTGCTGAAGGTACATTTCCTATTTATTGTAGACTACATTGATATATTTATGATTTTAAACAGTTTGAAAGATGTTAACCGGGGAAGGAAGTAAGATAAAAACAAGTGAATTCATCCAGTATCTTCCTTGTTTTCTAGCAAACCCTGAAACTAAACACATTGCAATGTTAAACAATCAAGACAGAGATATGGAAACAAAACTATTGAGTGTAAAATAGTGTTGTATAAAAAAATAAAGCAAAGTACATTTTAATGGAAGTATTCTATCATTTGCATAAGCAATTTAAATATAATTACATGGTTTTGAATACTTTCAATATTTGTAAACATCAAATGATGATTGAAGATGATAACAAACAAAACCTAGAAGTAAAAAATTTGAAGGTTTATATTGCAAATGTATTGACAAGCAATCTTGAATATTCAAAATCCTTTTTTATCATTCTCTTCATTATTGAATGCAACAAAATTTTATCAACCAAAAGGCAAAGAAATGATTCTTTTTTTTCTTTTTAACTGTAATGAAAAATTGAACTTATATGATCCTAAATAGATGTTTGAAAAAAGAGGAAATCTAGGTTGATTTTATATTGTTTTTAGTGAACATAAAAACTAGGAGAACTTGGCTGAGCTGCAAAGACAGACTAGTTTTTTTTTGTTGTTGTTATTGTTTTCATCTCATTATTTAAGTCAGGTAAATTTTTGCATGTACACAAATATTGCTGGTTAAAACAACATTTTGTATTCTTCTTTCCTGTTGTGTTTCGGGATTAGAGCACATTTGCACAGAAACAACTAAGTGAATCTTATTACTCTCAGCCATTAAATTGTCATTCTCTCTCACCCAATCAATATTCTAATTATAGTAATAATATAATTGTACATATTTCACATGCAATTTACTCAAAAAAAGAAATTTCAAAGAAATGAAAATGATATTACTGGGAAAATTTAATATAATAAAAATTTAATATAACTCATTTAAAAGGTACCTAAAGTGGCTGTTAAGTTCAATGTCGAATCACTTTCTATTTATAGATGTAATTATTTGCAAATAAATAAGGGGAACTACTCTGTAATTAAATCTTCATTTAAAATTTCAAGTTAGCACTACTTGTACTTCTATTCTAGTAAGCTCTATTTGACTCCTAATAAACAGGAGTCAAGTGTTAAATGATTTTCAACATATATGCCTACAATGTAGAAAAATTATTCTAGTAATAAATATCAGGAATTTTTATGTAAGAACAGAAAAAGAAATGAAATGATTAAAACATTTTTGTGTAAAATGATGATACAATTAATTGATTTTGTAAAAAATACCCATAATGATACTTTTGTTGTCAATTCTCAAAAAAAAAGAGAACATACAAATCCAGTTTCATATTTTTGGGCTTTATTAAAATTCTAAAAATAGATATTTAAAACAATAAAAATTGCCAAAGTAGTATACAATAATATCAGTGTCAAAGGAAAAACTGTCCTTTTGGCATACCTTTTTTTGTTGGTATGTTTGTTAAACTTGGTCAAATATTTATAAAGAATATGTAATAAAAATAATTTTTTCATAAAATAAATATATTTATGCAGCAATTAATCTTTTCATTTTTTTCTCTTACAATGTTTATGATTTTCTTCTTAGCTTTTGTAAGAAACACAAAACAAAAATTGGATCATTACTCAGTGCAAAGAAAGAATTTACACTATTAAGTTACAAACTGAACTAAAAATTGCTTTATTCTTCAAATTAGAACATTGCAATGGTATATTGGCTTAACAAAAGTCTCACTATGATGTGCTGTTTTTAGTGTGTTGCAGCATCTACCCACTATTACAACAAGTGTTGTCACCACTCTTAAGGAACAAGCAGAACTCTGGAAAGACTTAATGGCAGTTGGTGGCTAGATGGCATAAAACTAAGGAGAAAAGTGTTGAAGAGTTTCACTGCTACTATAATGTAACAAATTGCAACTGAATTAAAAAGGTTAATTAGGTTCAATAAGTGATGTTGAGTTTGAGAATCTTGAGAGTTTGAACCTGAATTTAAATTAAGGAAATCCAAAAAGACTGAGTATAATTAGCAAAACACAGCTTAAGAAAGACATGGGCTTTGACAGGTAATTGATTCCAGTGAAATAGATTCTTTGGATAAACAGATGAAATTATATTGATTTTAAGGAAATTTTTTTAAGGAAAAAATTTTCAGAAGAGAATTTTCAGACTTAAGTCAGGGGCACATGTGTTTTTGAGGGACACATGTGAACAAAGAAAACTTTACAAACATTAATGATTTGATTCCATTGATCCATCATATCAAGTTGAATTAGCATAAAAAGCAGCTATTTTGAGTTGCTAAGTTGCGGATGTTTTAACATGAGACGGAAAGATGCCAGTTGGTGTTTCAAGCTGGTGGCAAGAGATGTAACTATTGATTCCTCAATCACATGACCAGACTAGAAACACACAAACACAGATCAGTTCTCTCCTATTCTCTTGGCATATTATGTGTAGCATTGCTACAAAAATAATCACTATAACCTTCAGAGTCTGTTGAGCCATTCTTGAAGCCGAGATGACCAGTAGAGGGCTCAAGTGTCACATTCACAAACAGAAATCAGTTCATTTGACCATAGAAAAAATATATTACAAAACCTCTGAATATGATAAAAAAATGACATGCAAATAATTTTCAAAAAATATTTTACATCAAATTAAAACATGCGAATTTTTAGCATTAACCCTATCAATGATCAAATAATTAAAAATATTGTTAATTTGAGTTTAGAAGTATCAAATATAGAATATTTAAGAATATCATGATTATTTAAAATAAATAAATTTTCCTAAGTATCAATGAAACAATATATTTTATATCCTAAAATATTATATATATTATAAAATGTTAGGATATTGTGAAAAACAACTTAAAATAAATTTATAATAGCAATCTGCTGAGAACCAATTTTCATGCAAACATGAATTTAACTGACCAAATTATTGCAACAACAAAAACATTTTCTCTTTATTTTAGCTGTTAACAGTCATAGGTGAATTAAAATTTGTTTTTACTTTTAATAAATTATTCATAATTTTGGGTAAAAATTTATTTTCAATTTTATGTTGCTAAACTCTAGAATTAACAAATATTTACATGGAAATTAAGTTCAATTTAAATAACTGACTATAGTGCTCATCTTTATGAAATTTATTCATATGTAAGTATCTTTTAACAAGCAGTCAGTATTTTAAAAGTAGAAATAATGGTTTTTTAATAATAGATTTACCTAATTTGGGACCAGGAGGATCAGAAACAATATAAATCTCAAGATTTATTGGTAATTCTTTCTTTTCTTTCTTTGCATCAATTTGGGATTGGTAGGCATCTCTTTGGATTTCATCTGCAGTAGTAATCACTACAGCATCCCAAAATGGCCAGAAACCACTGGATTTATCATTTCCTAAGTATCAAAAAACAAAACAATTATGTCAAAAATATTTATTGCAAACAATTGCTGTAACAAGCAAAATTAATAAACAAGTAAAAAATCAATAATTTTTTTTATATTAGATATTCCAAAAAAATAAAATAAAAGAGAAGTTCAACTCTTGAAGATTAATTGTGATATAAAAGGAAAACTGAGGAGAGAAAATTAACAAATTTTATGAAATAGAATGCATTATCAATGATGCATTAATTTCATTAAAAATTATATTTTACTTCTATGGCACCCATAAAAAATAAGATTATTTACTCTACTTATAGACAGAGTATCTGTGCACATTTCTCTGTCTTGGATCAAAGTAGCACTTTTTGCCAAATTTCAATGGAATAATATCTGTCTGTGATCAAACTGTTGTTCCCTGTAACTTCTACCTAGGATTTGAGTTTTTGAAGCATATCACACACACATATAATCTAATGAATACAAACTACAATTTATTTGTGTGTTCTTCAAAGAAATGACAAAATGGCAAATATCACAAAACAAATTATTTTTCCACTTTTATATCAAGTTACCATTGACTTTTTCTTTTTTTTTTTTTAACAATTATATATAAAGTTTTACCATGTACAGAAGACAATATTTATAGAAATGAGATATTATCCAAATACAGGCACAGAATCTGTTATCTTAAAGCTATAGAATGAGACACTTTACAGAATTAAGATTTTTTCTGATTTTGGTCTGGTAATAGAGGTACCAGGATGTCCAAGTAATGTAATGGTTAGCAACTCAATTGAGAAATTGGCAAGCTGAGTTTGAATTCCAGTTGAGTTCATTACATTCACTTTTTCACAAATAACCTTGGGAAAGATATGAATCCATCTCTTCTTCCACCAGTTATGGGCTAAATAGCAGGACAAACTGGATTCTCTAGCCGTTATTATAGACAAGTGTATGGTTGCAAGAAAGAAATACGGCAACAGAAGAAATAGATTTACATGGTTTATTTCAACAGGAACGTGTGGGTTTGGGACAGCTACCTTGTGGTAAAGTTCATAAGCCGGCTTCGGATTTAGGTCAATCTCTCATAGTAGTTCACACATGTTGACGGTGGTTGATGCTTTCCTGCTGCTGGTCGCTCGGCCTGACCGTGACGGTCTGTTTTGCGGCCACCTGTGGACTGCCTGTTGAACTTCCATGTGACCCCTTTTATAGCGTTTTTTTTATGGCTTAACAGGCTCGAGAAACGAAGCGAGTATAATTAGGAGGGAAGTATTTTTATTGGACGAAAAATAGAGCACTTTAAATATTATTTTATTTTTTGACCGGAACACGTGTGTCGGGAACATTTGTAAAGAAAGATAATGGTCATTTTGTGACGGGGCTTTGTCCCGTTCACATCCGGTTCTCGCTCTTGAGTATTTGCCTGTAAATCAGCCGAGATATGTCTTATTTTATTTTATAACACCGTGGTTGGCAACTACTTTAGAAGGACAACTCTGAATTCAAAACACAGCTACTTGAAACTAAACAAAGATGGTTAGACATGAGGTGCAGATACTATGTCTGCAAAATGAAAAACATGATAGATTTCATGAAATATGGATAATCACACTGGGGAGCGATTATCCATAATACTGCTGACACCAATAAACATTGGAGTCAAGTAAAATGTCATGTCATTTAGAGATACAACACATTGGAGAAAAAATTAAGTCAGTTGTTAGAGAACAGCAATATATGCGAAGTGAACATTGTAAATATTCATACTGATTGGGATAAATTCAAACTATAAATAATTGTACAGTTTTATGTAGAGTGCTAAATAAAATGTGATTAAAAATGGACCAAAAAAAATTACTGGCATACTTATTATCAGTTAAAAAAAAGAGTAAATGCTGAAAACCAAACTTTTTCTGTGGAAAAAAATTGTTTTTGGAGCTCTTCAGTTTTCAGAAATGAATCCTTATAGAAACAAATATTGTAGACATCAGTTTTAAGAGAAACAAAAATGTTTTTAAAATATAAAGTAGTTTTGCATCTTCTATTTAATAAATGTGAATGTCAGTGTGTCACACTTTATCAACTTTATTCCTAGAAGCTGTATAATTGCTTGTATGGAAAGTAAGGACCTATGTACATCAAACAGTCTTTAAATTAAGTGTTGACAGAAGAATTATTGTTCAGCATTTAAAAGGTAAGCTTAAATATTAATGCAATATTTAAATGCAGTGATCAATTTTAAGTTCTTCTGTAGTTTATTGTTGCTTATTACATCTACTCCTCCCTACCTAATGTGATGAAGGCCCAATCAAGAACCCTCTGCAGAAGCTAGCTTAAGTGCTTCCTGATAGGGCAGCTTTTTAGCTAGTTTGATATAAAAATGGAAAATGTTTCCTTTACATCTAAAAAGAATTGAATACATTTTGTTTAAAAAGTAATAGATATATTCATGAATGCATCTAAAGGTACATTTTACACATCTGTCTATACACACATTCATTAATGTTTGTATAATTAAGGACACATAATGTATTTATATACATATCTACTTACTAATATTCAAGTGAAATGTAAATGTGATTTTTTTGTTTCTCTGTAACTTCCATCAAAAGAGGGTACTGCAAATACACAAATACAAAATATGCTGCTGTGTTTATGTCAACAACTGCTAGTTTTTATATCATTACTATTACCATTACTGATGATGCACAAGGGTATAGATATCTCTGTTTTTTCATGAATAAAACTGATATTAATAAAGATATTCATTTTTTATCAAATTATGTTTCTTATTGTTTTTACTAAAAAAAGATTTGTATAATTTATATCTTACAGTTTAACTGTAGGATTTCCATGTATAGATAGTACACTCTGACCCTATCCAGAAGTGAATATCTTATTTAGTTTCATTTCTAAAAAAAAATAATCTCAAAGATTCAAATATACTCATGATATTTTTCATGGTTAATAACTTATATACTGATTGCTGTAAAGTTCAATCAGAAATATGCAAACCATATAATTAATGTGTCACTATATATATCAGTAGAACTTGTGACTGCCTCAAAACTTAACAAATCCTTCCTGTTCTATCACAGTTTTGCCAGCCCTGTGTGAAAAAAATGGTTTAAATATTCATATTAGACAGAATTAGTTTATACTTTGTGTGAATTTTAAATTTGGAGATTGTATGAAGAAAAAGTTGCATTGTTTTAATCTGACCTATGTGCACATGATGACTGAGTGAAAATAACTCACTGTTACAAGCAATTTGTCAACATGCAAACCTCTTTGTCTCGCATGAAGTGTTATTAAATGAGAACATGAGTCATATGAACACCTCAGAATTTCAAATTAAGCCTTTTGTACAAATCGCTGATAGAGATAGTTTCTGTTCATACTGTAAAACATGTAATTTTACAATAAAATTTGTAAAGAATAAAAAGGTATAAAACTACCATATTTGAAAGCATATAAAACACTCTTAATTAAATCTAATGTTACAGTATTGTAAAATATGGTTAAGTACACAGACTGGCTGGCATGTAGGACACTATAACAATGTGGGATGTTTGAAAATGTTAAACAGGAAATAAGCTAAATAGTTAGCCTCTGTATTCACAGGGGTTAGAACTGGCCACGAATAGTTAGAATCCACAAATATTTGTAACCCCCTAAAAGTACTTATAAGTACCTATTTTGATGGTTAAAACCCCATATGCCTTAAACTTTCATCCTAAACACTTTATAAATATTTCAGACACTTTTTAAAACATTTTTGAAAAATAATATTGGTGACCATACACTTAGCGTAAATTTTCTTTCATACATACAATAATTGTTTTTAATTACGCATTGATTGACATAACCATTGAAAATACTGTATAAAATATGTGTAACAAGACATAAAATATAAAGTTTAAAACATTTCCTAAAAATAGAACAGTGATGATACCCAAAGACCCAGCATAAGTCACTTTTAAGACCCCAGTCGCAGCCCCTAACAAAAAACAAAGCCCAAGAACAACGCATCTTTTTTGCATTTGTTTTTTTACAATGAAGATGTATAATTCTGTCAATTTTTACCATAAAAATGAACTGTTATATGTTTTAAGTCACTTAAAAATAATAGGAAAATAATGCAAGAATATTTTACATATGTTCTATCGAAAAAATACACAAATCGAGGGAGTTCTCATTGAATAATTTGTACATAAGTTCTTCAGAAAAACATGTGAATATTTGGGTTTTCTGCAGATAACAAGTATATATGTTCTAAAGAAAAATCTGCGAATGTGTGAAGTAACAAACGTGAATATGCAGGGCCTCACTGTATCAACATTCTGGGAGAATGTAAAATATGGATAAACATGGAGTCTTCACAATTGACAACCACAGAATCATATATGCAAATGGGAGAAAGAAATGAAAGAGGACAAGGACTAATGTTAGATAAAGACAAGGGGAAATTTCTGGGATGCTGACAACTTTAGGATTTTTATAGTGAAACTGAAAGAAAAGGTATCACAAGCACCCATGGGTCATTCCATGCCAAATCATCCAGGGCATGTTACCCTTATCTCTTCAATTTTTCTGAAATTAACCAAAATTTGAATTTCTAATTCCAAAAATTGTCCAATTTACATAAATTTTTTTTTTCCGTAGTTTGGGAGTTGCGCAAAAAATTGCAACCTTTCATAATCTATTTTTGTATGCAAAATTAGTTACAGAGCTTCCCTACTCTTAAAAATTGGCTCAAAAAAGCTTTTTGGTCTGAGGAATCCAAAAACACTGTAAAGAATCAAAATTAATCAATTTTAAGTTATTAATGATTTCTGATTTTTTCATAGCAAAATCAATAGGGGGGGAGGAGAATCCCCGTGTGGTAGTGCATCTATGACAATTTTTTTTTTGTTATTATATTACATATATTGAATGTTATTTGTACCAAAAAGATAATTTGGTTATATCTTAGAAATGATCAGGATTATATTGGTGGTTGGGAGTTGGATATATTTAAAATAATATAGAAACAATACATTTCTCTTGTATCAATAATTACTTGCAAAATTCTGTCAATATACAAAGCTCAACATCAGCACCACATTTCATTATGAAATTGAAAATGGGAGAGTAACAAAATGATAATATACAACAAAAAACAAGACCAGATAAAGCAAACATGTTTATCTACAAAATGTATTTATAGAAGTTTAAAAGAAATTTAAAAAAGCTTTTTTTGATAGCATTTTTGGATTTCTTGGGCCAAAAAACTTTTCTGAGCCAATTTTTAGGAGTAGAGAAGCTCTAAAACTAATTTTACAGACAGAAATAGATTATGAAAGGTCACAATTTTTTGCGTGACCCCAAAACTGGGGAAACCTAAAAATTGCTGTAAATTGGACAATTTTTGGAATTAGAAGCTCAAATTTTGGGAATTGTTTTACTTTAACATAGTCAATACATGGACAAAAATTTCAAAAAACTTGAAGAGGTAAAGGTGATTTTTTTTTTCCTGGATGATTTGACATGGAATGACCCATGTCAGAAAGCACTGAAGAAATAGATAATGCAAATGAGAGACTTATAGTCAGAAAGAAACAAGATAGTGAAATAATTAGCAAGTATGTTCATAGATCATGCAATGGACAGAGGAAAATAGGTTAATTGATACACAGTGAATGACCAAGGAATAATTAATACCTGGTTTGAAGACCACACAAGATGCTTGTAGACCTGAAAAAGCTCAGCTGTAGACATAAATAAGAACCAAATAGACTAACAATAATTATTTAGAATTGCACTACTACACTCTAAAACATACCCAAATACTAGTTGTAGGAACAATTACCTCTCAGACAGATGCTCTTTGTGCTAAATACCTTTGTTAAATCTTGAAACCCTCTTCCTTCAGCTATGGATTAAATCACAGAGCAGACTGGGCTCTCTCACTGTGAGGTGGCAACCAATTTAGGAAAAGGTAAACTCTGAATTCAAAACCAATCTGAAGAGAAATGTATTCCATCAGGCTATCTCGCCCTGGACAATTATAATATAATAGAAAAATTTCCAAAGAAAAAAATGTTAAAATGAATAAAAAAAAACAAAACAAAAACAGGTTTTAAATCATTCTTAAATGAATTGATAGTGTTCAGATTTTAAAGCTAAACACATTTTTATTCATAATTTTGAAGTAAACACATTTTAATTATTTAATATGGTATTTTACACTATTATTTATGCTCTATTAGAATTAATAACAAAATTTTTATGATAAATTATTCAAGATTAGGTTTTTACATTACTTTAAATTAGGATTGATAAATTTTCCTAGTTTCAGAATATGAAATAAATACTTTTCCTATACAAAAGTTTTTAATTTTTCTTTTAAATACAATAAAAAAAACCAAGGCGAAAACTTTTTAGATCTGCCATGTTAAAACCCCATATGATGACAAACGTGAAGATAAATCAAATAAATTAAAATTATTTTCTATGATTACTTTTTTTTGATTTTATTTTCATTCTAAAAAATATCACCAAAACAAAATGGATGTGTTTTTTTTCCGAAACGAAAGCAAAGAATTGCTTCTCACCGTTTTAAAAAAATTGCCAGAAATCAGGGAATAATTCAAATAAATTTTTTCATTAATTAATGAATTGTACTGAAATAGGTTTAGAAAGCTTTATGGAATATTTTCCGGGGTGAAGGGCTGTTTCTACCACCCCACCTTTATGTGTATCTAATTGGTGGTGGTGGTGGGGAATACACAAAAGAAAAATCCCTGAAGATGTTAGTTGAATTAATTATCAAATGGGGACATATGGAAAATTTGTTCCAATACCAAAAATAATTCGATAAAATAAAAAAAGTAAAACTCAAAAAACATTTTTCTGGCAGTTGGTGCTTGCATAATCTAATTAAATTTAAAATATGTTCTAGACAGAAAAAAACATATACTTTTAACTTAAATAATTTTTTTTTCAAATTATAATTTTTTAGTGCAATTTTGAAATTCATCCCGTTGTTCGTAAGAGGTTTTTTTATTAACTAAAATGTAAAAACGAAACGTTTTTTTTTTTTTTTGAAGAATCGAAAATAAACGTAAATATCCCCGTGTGAGGGACATCAGCTTAAACTTTTCTCGTAAATGATAAATCACAATATCAGCTAAAAAACTCATGCCTTCAAAAATCAATTCATGGCCGTGCAATTTGGGAATTTAAGAAAAAAATTCCAATGTTCTTTGGTAAAAAAAAACTAAAGCAAGAGAAACAAAGCCTAACAAAGGTTTTTAAAATTCTATTCAAATTTAAATGATTCTAATAATTTCTGAATAAATAGTAGGGTAGCAATTTTCAAAAAGAAGACAACACTAGAGACTGAAAATCGGAACTTGATTGACCTTCTCAGACGTTGAAAACGTAACCGGAACCCAAATACTACGTCTCATCAGCAAGGTTATAAAAAACATGTATTCTAAATAAATCGTCATAGTTTTCATTCCCACTGTTATATTTCGAGTAATTCATAATGTTAAATAAATGGCTGACTTGAGGTGGTGCCGGACAGAGAACAAAGTGTCCACTGACCTCACGAATTTCTATTTTGTCAACTCTACTTTAGTCGATTTTTGTAAAGAAAAAAAAGTTGATCGATTTTGTACACAAACTGGAATATGGTCGTTTCTGGTTTCATCTGTAAAGTTATAAAATAAATGAGTGATAGATTCTTTACACAAATTTTGCATCATGCCATATGATAAAATTTTAAAACGTGATAAAAAACATAATGCCAATGGCATAAAAATTGTAAAACTAAAAATCTGTGATTAAATACACTTACAAACGAATCGTGACTTCCAATTTCCAAGTTTCAGCATTTAACACAATAAATAAAATTAGTCATTAAAGATGAATTTAAGATTTTTATTTTAATGAATTTTTTTTTTTTTTTAAATTTAATGTTTTTTTAACTTCCTTCAAATTTTGAAGTTCAAAATGAGTAAAAAAAAAAATAGTTTGAAATCATAACCAAGAAAACGTGTAGTAAAAATATTTTAAATTTCTATTTTTTTGATGGACTATTACCGTTGAAAGAAAAAAAATCACAAAAGAAATGCAAATATTTTTTTTTTTTACGGGTAAACCAAACATTTCATTTTACTTTTCAGTTTTTGCTGGACTGAAATAAAATTTTAATTTATGTTTTACATGATAAAGTAGGAAAAAAGTCCAGTTAATGATAATCCCACAAAAAACCCAATAGTAGTGGCCTATCAAAATCTATAGTTTTGCTAGTTAATATAAATATAACATTTCTTGGTTTATTACGCCTATAAGAAATTAACAGAATTACCTCGTAGCTTATCGTATTTGGAAAATAAATCTCTCATAAACTGTATGATTTTTTCTTCGTTCATTTTCGTAAAAAAGTAAAAGTTTAAAGAATAATACGAGTTACTTCCCCTGTTTAAAAAAAGCAGTAGCAGCCGATAAATATTTATTGCACAATATGTACAAATGCGGCACAAAGCTAAAAGAGGGAATGGGAAAAGGATGGTCTTCTTCTGTCTTATCATTAAACTGACCCAAACATACAAACAATATTCCTTTCACCAAAACAACGCATTCTTACTTACCTTTCTCACCTCATCCACCATAATGCCTCAGAAACTCTAACTAGTCCCCATATATACAATTCATTATCTGTGGGGAGAGGGGGTGTTGCAGACCCGGCAATGTGCAGTGCTGGTTTAATAAAAGTGGCCTTGTGCCAGACACTACACTAAACTACCGAGTCCACAAACAATGTATAAAAATATGCGTGAATGAACAGTGAGAGGAAAGGGGTCAATCAACAAGTGCATAAATTATAAATATTAAAGAGATAGCCTGAATAAAATGACAAAGGCGTCTGGATGCAAAACGTGTAATTTTTATTAGATGGAAAACAAGTAGGTATCTCGTTGTACGAGATCAGAGAAAATGTTCCGCGCCAAAACAGGAAAGCAAGATGAACAAGGCGGGAAAAAGGTTTTTATCGATATGAAGAAAGGTTCTGGAAAAGGACTCGTTAATACGAGGTGTAGGTGCGCACAGATAAAAAGTACTCACTGTGGATTTTGGCATTGTGAGTGTATGTGATTTTTATGTTTTTATCCTTTTTATGTTCAGGTTCAAAGTAGTTTGAAAGTTCAGTCGTCTCGGAGTTTTGGTCAGGCATTGAATTAACTGGAAATTTTATCGGATTGATGTGGACGTCTAGCCAAAAGGACGAAGAGTTATTTGCAGTTGGTTGCATCGTCTTAGTGAAATTACTTATGGCGAGTCAAGAGAGACGAAGAATTATTTGTAGTGAGTTGCATCGTCTTAGTGAATTTGCTTACGGCGAGCCAAAAGGGACGAAGAATATTTGTTCGTCAGTAAGATATCCCTGTCTGTATTATGGTTGAATGACGAGGGATAACAATAAAAGTCCCTTGTTGAATACGAAGTTCTGCCTACGACTGTGTCGTGTGTCTCGAACGTTTTCTGGTCGAAAACGGAGAAGGTCTGACCTGCGGGTAGCTTCAAGACGAGAAGAAGTCTTGGTAAAGTGTGAGGTCGACATTGTTGGAAATAAGATATTCCGGCCCGCATATGGGTTAAGGGCACGGAATAAATGAGTTGCCCGTCTAGTCAGGTTGAAGATCTGGAAGCAACTGGCTTGCAAACGCTGTTCGTTTGAGACGCCAGGAAACGCGCGGGAAAAGATTCAAAATCTGTTCGGCTGACTTCATCAGCAGGAGCTAGTAAGCGACCTTCCTTCCTCCAGATTACTGCTACGTCTAGCTGTGAGAGAGAGGAAGGGGTGCGAACCGCGCGCACACACGCACAAGTGTGGAAGAAAGGGAGGAAAACTCGCGCGCGCGTAAAATGTAGATGGAATTAGTGTGTTAATTCCATAGGGGGAATAAAAATAACAATTTAAAAATCTAAAAGCCCCAATGAGTATTTACAATTGTGTACAAACTATATACAAGAAACTAAACAAAACTTTGTTAATAATACCCCCCGCCACAGCGCTAACTGTGGCAGTAACATCACTTCTGGATGAAATCAATGCTGGACTTAAAGAAAAAAAATATGTAAAGCATCCATACATCTCGTACACTCACTCAAACATACACTCATTCAAACACAAAAACAGTTACGAAAATCACACCCGAAACGAAAGATGCCTCGCACCCACCAGAGAACTGACATCAGTATCCACCTAAAGATGGGAGTGATGGGGAATTAAACCAAAAGAAAAAAATAGGGACAAAAATAAAAGGGGGCAATGAGTTTACATACCCTAGCTAAGTTAACTTGAAAAAAAGAGAGAGAGAAAAAAAAACTAAAACAAAAACGACCTACACTAACCTATACACGGGAAGGGTTGCCAATGTTCAACCCAGAAATCGCAATATCCTCCTAACCGGCATCAAAATGCCACTCTGTCAGCACCTTTCACCCGGCAGAGACGCGCAAAACTCACCCACCTTTCGCCAAATTCCAATGGATGGAGTCGCTTCCTTTCCGTCCTGATCTTGACTTTGAGCTGATGCTTAAAGAACAGGATCGGTTGGGAAGAGGTAAACTTCTCGTCCCCATGGAATTCCTTCTGTCGCGTCGTCCATATCACGACTCGCATAACCCCCAGTAAGTAAAGGAACACATAGTGCTCAGCCTTAGTCAATTGCAGTACTATATTGCTACAGATGGACAAAGAACACGAGGACAAAGAAATTTCCGCGCAGCATGCAAACCATGATGTCTTCAACAAACTTGCACAACGGAGCTACGACACTACAATGGAAGAAGGCGTGACCTAGGGGCTCCATCTCCCCACTGCAGCGAACGCAGTTTGGCGACTTTGCCAAACCCGTCGAACGAAGTCTTTTGGCAACCCAGAGGGCCCCTCGAATCACCAGCCAGGTGAGTGATGCCTCAGTGTTAGTGAGACATTTCAACCAGGACGCCGAAGGCCATATGCAGCGAGCCTCCTGCTTCGTCTGACCGAGCTCGCCTATCAAAGCATCCCTAACTAACACCTGATATAATGCCTTACGGGACTTCGCCTGTAAGAGATGCTTCAGGGCAAGCCGACATTCGCGATAGAAGGAGCCCTCACCTCTAGGTGAACGAACGACCTCTTCCTCTTCCTTCCAGAATTCGCCGTTCTCATCCAACTGCGTACACATCCGGTCTAGATAAGTAATGCGAAGCGTATGTCGAATAATCTCAACGCAAGGCACCCCCAGACCGCCATCAGAAGGACGGAGGTAACAGATCTCGCGACTAACCATGGCGGCCTTGCCTCCCCACAAGAAAGAGAACGCCAATAAAGTGTCAAACGGGAGTGGAAGCACTTCGCCCTCCCCTTCAAGGAAAGATTTCTCCGGGACCACAGACGAACTGCGACTTCGGCCTTCTCCAATTCATTTCCAATAGGACCGAACCAGACGCCGAGGGGAAAGATCCGGGAAGAGAAACTCTCTTCCACAAACCCAACCGCAAGCCAACAGACTTATCGCGGTTGATCTTGGCTCCTGTCACCATCTCATAGCCTTTGATTTCTTCGTTAATTTCGGTTCTGCTCGACACAAGAACCGAAACGTCATCAGCATAGGCGGAGTACCTGGCCGAGGTGGTAGCACCAGGTAAGGAAATTCCTCGAAGGACCGGATTCGTCTTCAACTTACGCAGGAAAGGTTCCAACGCAAGAACGTACAGCAATGGAGACAGCGGACAACCTTAACGAATGGAGCGAGACAAAATGAAAGGTTTCGATCTTACCCCATTCACTTCTACCAGCGCAACGGGGGACGCATACAGCAGTCGGATCCAAGTGCAAAAGTCTGGCCCGAAACCGGCGGCCGAAAGAACAGCCTCCAGAAATCGATGGTCAACCCTATCGAAAGCTTTGGACTGATCTAAATTGATCAACGCGGCATCACTGTCGACTTGCTCGATGATCAAGTGTACCAAATGAAGGTTGTCCTGAATAGTCCTGCCCTTCACAGCACAAGTCTGCTCGGGACCAATCAGACTAGAGAGGACAGCCTGCAAACGGCCGGCTAAGACTTTGGCTAAAATCTTCAACTCTGTGTTTAACATCATCAAAGGCCGATAATTATCTACTCCATCCCCACCGTTTTCGATACATATCGACAAGATCAAACCCGTCGATAAAGTCCCGAAACAGCTTAACATCCGGGTTGTTAGTACCCGATTTTTGCCCTATACGATCTATATCGGGATCAAGGACGGCATTTCAATCACCCGCTAGAACTACCGAACGAGATGTCATCAAAACCGGCACGATCTCCCGAAACAAATCAGACCGCTGCGCATTGTCATTGGACGCATAAACCCCAATGAGACGAAGAGCTTTATTCTTTACAGTAACATCCAACCCGAAAAGCCTGCTCACCGGATCCGCGAAGACAAGAACACACGCGCATCCAGAGACTTGCTCACGAGCCTCCATCAAAACATGCTGAACAGAGGAAGAACCTCTTAGACAGAATGTCCTCACGGTCGCGAGATTAAAAAAATGGGCCTCCTGCACGCAACAAACATCCACCCGAGGCGCTGAAGATCGCGATCGAGCCTCGCCCTACGAGACTCCGACCTCAGGCCTCGGGCATTCAAACTTGCTAACTAGAGAACCATAATGAAAGCCACCTAGCGTTGCTTTCCTGTGTTGAACATGGCCGCGGAAAGGACACTGACGGTCTCTCCCAAGGGGAAAGTTAATTTTATAGCTCTATACAGGGAGGGGTGAACAAAAAGCAGGAACCTCCATGCACAAAATTGTTTTAACTTATTAAGAGTTTCTTTATCAAAACACGCCATGGGTGGAAACATAGAGAAAAACTTAGTTCGCCTCTGCTACTATGGACCAAATCTGCTGCCCTGCCTCACCGGCACGGATGCTAGTCAAGAGCCTTTTTGCATTTGGGAAGTTCATTGGATCTTCAACATCAAGATTTCCAATCTTTCTGAAGTTTAAAAGAGTCTTTAGTGCCTTGTTTTCTAATTTCTTAGAGACCCGGCACACGTCCACTCTTATGTTATAAATGGGTTTCGGCTTCTTTATTTGAGAAGTTTCTGCTGTATCGGGAGACGGACTCGTTTATCTTTTGGATAATTCTGATTTTGTGGGGGTTACAGGCGGGGTTTTGACCGGGGAAGGCTTTGGGATAATGGGGGTGTTGGTAGAGGTGGGACGGTCTTTAGATAAAGATCTTGAAGCAGCTTTTTTAAGGTTGTAAATTTGGAGGGCGTGGGAGATTGGGTTCCTCACTACAGGAGGAGGAGCCATAAGGTGTTGCTTAGAAGAAGGGGAAGACGGCGTCGAAGAGATAGGGCCAGATTTTTTGGATAACCGTTT